TGCCCCATCATTTTTCTGAAAATTCTGTCATACTACGTAGGTGATTCTTTTTATTTTGTGTGAACACAAAATAATTTCGGTACTGGATAAGCCCCTGATGCAATTTTCACAACACAGAAACAATAACGAGTGAAATTTCATCACTTGATGGTATGTGTTTTTGAAAACCCTTAATATTTGGTCTTGAATATGAATTTTGCAATACGTTTTCGAGGTAATTAACTCGCAAAAAATAAATAATAAAATGATTACTGAGACTGACGTCGTATCTAACGGATTGTGGTTATGTTGAAAACATTTCATAAACTTACACTTCCATGGACGCCAATCTTTCGTTTTGAAAGTAATAAAATGATCGCCTGGTTATTGGGCAGCCCGGGGAGGATTCCCTACCAAGTTTGTCACTGACCTACATTGTGGTTATAAAAACAATCGTTTGGAGCAACACATATAAAGCACTAACCAAACACCCAAGGTAAAACAAAGGTTCTTGTCAGTCCTTTTAAAATGAAATCCTGCTAATGTAGGGAACCTTATCGACGTAGATGTGATAAAATTTGTGCAACTACCAGAAGTGTGTTTCAAAATTTGACAAAGAAATCAAGTCAGCAGTAACTGGCTGAGTAAAGCCACCGTATTTACTTCTCCAAGGCTTTGGGCAACAGCTCAGTGTACAACATCTGCGATAATCTCCCACATGAGATGTTTTTGAAAACCTTTAGCATCTGTAGTCACAGATATGTCGCGTTTAGCATCACTCCCAGCAGCACAAAAAATGCCGCACAATTTTGTAACCTAAAGCATACTTTTGGAGTACAAATTTCATCTGCAAAAGTTCATCATGTGCTCGTACGCTCCTTCTGCAAGCGAAAATAATATAAGCGTAAAATGGGCATACGTAAATGGTAGTGAGCGTCCTGCATTCTTCTCATTATTTACCGGTAAGCCGGTGCACTTGTAACATAAAAGAATTGAGTACTGACCACTTTTATTTTTTCCTAACTCATTCATTGTATGTACCTCCATTTGGTGTACTGTTCCTCAAACAAATTTACAGGAAACCAAACGCAAGCTAAAGGAGTAGCGTCAAGTGAGGTCCCACTGTGCATCATTTTTTATTGCGGCTACTTATTAAATTGGTGTATGTGAAAATCGTTTTAATGAGAGAGCAAATTGTTCATGCATTTAAGTTTACAGAGTCATTTCTCATGACCACATCAGTGTATGCAGCAAGAAGTACAACACAATAAAGGGCCGCAACCGACTTGCCGAATATAACGCCCATGTGATTGAAACCAGTAATACACCTGCACTTGGGCATAAATTAAAATGC